CTCACAAGATGTATATTCTTGCGCTTTTTTACGATTTGGAGCGCATTCAAACAGAAAGAGTCATGGCTGAATCGAAGGCTGAATTGACTTAAATGTACAGTTAGTGAATCGTAGAATACTTTTAAAATATAATTTATTGAAAAGAGTTTAGTTTATGCTTCTGCATAGGTCCGCACATTTTTCCATCTAAAAAGAATCAACTTTAATAGATCAAATGACATAAACATCAGTTTGATGGTTGGAAACAAGTGAAAACCTGGTCTTTGTGACCTGGTATGACTGGTACGTACTGCATGGTAGGCAGGATGAAAAATTTTCCATATGAACATGCCAGCCCACTTATCTAGGATAAAGTCAAACAACCTAATTTCGGGTTTTGCCATTTAATTTAACACTTTATTTAGTTTTATGTTTGTTTTGTAGACATGCAAGTATTAAATATGACTCTTCGTTACCAAATACCCCTGTCAAGGTAATGTTTTACTGATCTTGAACTGTCTGTGCCAGTGTAGGTAGTAGAGGTGTGCATCGGATCGGATTGGACGTTTATAATCCGACAATTGCCTAATGTTTAAAATCCGATCCGAAATTGTCTAATCCGAATCCGATCCGAGTTTTGACTTTTGATAAAGAATTCCAATCCGATCTGAAGAATTCTTTAATAAAATAAATTTCTCATTCAAGTTGAAATATTTAACCAAAAAAATATAAAAACAAGAAATACATGTCAAGAAGCTGACAAAGTGACGTCCAATTGAAGTATCAAACGAAAAATGCAGCGACAACCGCAATATAAATGCTTTGATAAATGCATGTATAATTAATTCTTGCGATAATGCGTGGATAATTAATTCATTTTATTTCGAATATCGAAGTCCAATCCGACTACGAAACAACTTTATCGATCCGATCCGAAATGAATATTTTGGTTCCGAAATCCGAACGAATCTGATCGGTTTCGGGTCGGATTTGCTCACCTCTAATGTACAGTAAGTTTTGCATGTGATAATTATAGGACTACATGTACATAGTAATTTCATCTTGGCAAGCAGGATGAAAAACGCCATATGAACGCACAGAAATATTTGTCTCACCTAGCGAGATGTATTGGTAAGTGATCATGTGAACAACAGTAGTATGTAAAGGGGGTTTCTCTCTCATCCTCACCACCTGGAATCTTCCGGATCCAAGTTCAGAAATCCCAAAATCCTGTCCCGAATCCGGTTCCGGAATCTTCCAGACGACTGATCTCTAGGATGCTCCTTACGAACTTCGGTTCGAAGGATTTATTTCCGAAGGATTTGGAAAGTGATCACATTCTAGATTTTGGAATCCACATATCGTCCTTACTCAGGGTTTTCAATCTCCAATGACCTCTAGCAAGGGAGGGAGGGAGGTCACAAAATTTTCGGACTAACATAGAGCATATTCCAAAATTTTCCGGTGTCTGTCATTATCAGAGTTGATTGTTCACCTGGCCATGTTTCCTCAACGTAGTCGTATTTGAAGCTTGAACATTAACCTTTTTGACCCATCCAAAATAGCCATACCTGTGACAATGGGTTTATGCAGTTTGACTGTTGTTCGATGCATGTGTACAGCTGTTAAGTTTTCGGAGAGTATGGTCGAGGTTTTATAGTTTGATTTTTTCACCATTCTTCCATTTTTTTTTCCGATGTCTTTAGTCGAATGTCAACACGATTTCTTACATTTTCCATTATCTTACCGAACACCGCGTTGTTCATTAATTTGAAAAAATATTTTTTCGAAATCATTTTTTGAAGCAGTTCTGAGATTTTAACCATGCCTCTTCCTCGAATTTTATTCTTCGATGGATTTTCTTAATGTTCTTTGTAAAATTTTAGGATTCTATAATGAACACAGATTGGGTACTAGTTTTCCGCTTTTCCAATCTTCTTACGCTCAGGTACCATGGGGTAGTCATTATGGAGGTTGTGTAATTCGTCTGGATATTCCAGGTCAACTTCCAGGATGCATGGGATGTTTTCCCAATCCTCAAGTTCTTTCTCTGTCATCCATTTGAAATCTCTAACTGGCAACTGCTGCATCATCACCACCCATATAAATTGTTAGCATCCCAATATTTTAGATATGAGCTCGGTTTGGACAGGTCGTAGTTTTTCATATACGTGTTGTTTGCCTCTGCATAACGCTTGCTAATCATACAAACCCCACCACGAATCGCATTTGCAATCATTAAATACGTGTTATAGGATCAGACAACAGTTCCAATTTTACACCAGTAAGTTTAAATGCAGCTATATAGCGTACGCTAACCCTGGTGCTGTGTAGAAATATGTAGGATCTAAATCATAATTTGTAAGTGATGTTTTTCGGAAGTTTTCATAAACATCTGCCAGAAGCAGAACGTCTGCTAGTAGATACCCCAACATGTAATCCTCTAGAGTTTTACATTCTAGTATGTTCCAAACGTCTTACGCTCGATAATAGTCCTCGTCTGATATGTTACAATTGTTGAGTGAACTGTAAAACTTTTCTTTAGGTGGTAATTTCGTTTCTTTCAGTTTGTCGGCTAAACTATCGATGTACTCGCGTACGGAAACACACCCTTTTTAGCGAGTATCGGATCAGAACCCATGCATGTACTTTAATTGGTAAATTTGTGATCTTTATCGGATCAGAACCCATGTACTTTGGTAAATTTGTGATCTTTTCAGATGGTAAAAAGCTTACCAGTTTGTCGAGTGAACTACCCATGAATTTGATATACCCATGAGTCTATGAATCTTTAAACGCAGTCGACATCGTTTTTCCTATTGCTCCAATTTCCTTGGAAAAGCTAATGTATTTTCCCTCAGTTTTCGGAATTCAGTTCACAACCTCTCCATCCAATGCTAACTTTGGTATGAAAAGATGTGAATCGTATCCCTCCAGATTGTGGAAGACAACCAGGATAAAGTTGGGAATTCTTGCTAACATAGTACACTTCGAATGTGCTGCTCCTCGGTATTTTCCCGTAAAGTGACAGTGGTCCCGAACTTTGTCCTCATTTCCCTTTTTTTCAATCCAAGTTCTTTTTCACAAAAATGACATTTCTGAGATAGCTCAAACTCTACTATGTCCTCAACCATCATTTTACTCGAGACAGGTCTTCGGAAATACTTTTCCAGTTTTCCAATTGTGCTCCGTTCTGCGTAACTATTGTATGAACATCTCATATGCCTGCCGCCACGGCATTTATGAAAAGTGTCTCGAAACCTATATATATTTGCCATCTCAGTATAACAAGTCCGGCTTCAATCAGGACTAGGTCAGTAACTCGCATGCAGTTCTTCACAAACAACACACCCCTCGTGCATGTTGTGCTGACAAAGAAAATATAGATGTATAGGACTGCTCATTATTATATACATGAAACGTACGATATATAGTACCATATATATATATATGGCTAAACAATCCACAACCTGGCTTTTACCGCCTTTTCCTTGGGCCCTAGTGCGCACATGAATCTGGCACAACGTTTAACCAGTTTTGCTGGAATTGGAGCTCTGCCAGGGAAAAGGACAAAGCGTTTTCGGGGCTCGAGTTAGAAACAAACAGAGATGAACACAATTGTCTGGCAAGTTCGTGATTTTCCCCATATTTCATTGGATCGAGTTTTGCGCGAGGTTTACAGACGGAACGGCGTGAGCTTCTGCGCCATCTATTTCGCTATAGTTGCGACCAAACAATGGAGCATTCAACATACCTGTGTTCTGCCGAGACTGTGAGCCTCCTACCTGAGTGTGTAGCTGATAGACCGTCCGCGTAGTAGCCCGAGACGTGTTCGCAGGATTCCCCAGTTCTTCCAAACCGGCGCTCTGGTCGATCGGTGCGCTTGACTGGCGCAAAGCTTGAGTAATTGTCGCTTGAAGGCCCGTTGCAAACTCCGGTGATTGGAAAGCAGAACTCTGACCAGACGCCATAGCCAATTCTTACAGGCAACCACTCAAAAACGCGCAAGACGAACACAAAATAACAAAAAAAATTCAAAACGCACGTTGTTGTCGTTTGGACGTCAGACTTGGAATGATAGATGTCACCTACTCCCATTGCGCCATCCCCCCGGTCATGTGACGTGCTGACGTCAGGATACCTGGTTCCCAAGTTGCTAACCTTGGTTATTGCATAACCTTATTGCAACAATTAGTTAAAAAGCCTACCCGGAATCATAAAATCTTGGATGTATTCTTAACTAACTGTCCATATCTCTGGGAAAAATCAACAGTTTTTAAGGGTCTAGTAAGATCCGACCACTTGGTTGTTGTGGTTTTTCCACGGCATGTTGTAAAACCAGAAAGAAAAGACGTCTATTTCAGAGACGTAAGGGATCATCGGAAGTTTAGTATGACAAGGAAATTGGAAACATGGGATTGGAATCAAATTCATGATTGCAACGATGTCAATGATGCAGTTACCCTATTCAATGATACTATTACCAACTTATTTAATGAGTGTTTTCCTTTAATTAAAGTAAAAATGTCTACACGCGATCCGCCATATATGTCTCCCCTGGTCAAACACTTATATGTAAGATAAGAAACAAGAACATAACAGTGAAAACGTATTGATGAACTAATTCGTGAAAATCTTGTTCGTGCTGTTAATGATGAGAATAAGAAAAATACCAGTGGATCCAAAAATTGGTGGGATACTATTAATAAAATAACTGGTCGAAAAACCAAGAACAGTAATATTAGTTCAGTCATCGATCCACATATTATCAATTCGTACTTTCAAAGTGTAAATACAGATGCGATTTACATATCCCCCCAGCCTATATACCAATTCCTGTTGGAACCCGAGTTCCTACCATTGACGAGCCTACTGTCATAATTTTTTTAATGAAATTAAAACGAACAGTGCCAGGTCCTGATGGACTCCCATATTGGCTATGAAAAGACTTTTCACATCTTTTAGTGCCTATAATTACTAAACTGTTCAATATTTCAATCGAACAGCAATGTATCCCTCTGATGTGGAAACTTGTCAAGGTCAATCCTTCACCCAAAGAATGTCCTTTAACAGATTGCAGCCAGTTGAGACCCATATCGCTTACAAACATCATAATGAGACTCTTTGAAAGGGTAATTTATAAACAGGAGATTGCGTCTGCATTCAAATCTGTGGTCGGACAGAACAAATTTGCATATAAAGAAGGAACCAGTACAACTGATGCATTGATCATGTGTTTACATCATTGGCTTGAGTGGTTAGATGAAGGTGCAGACTATGTTCGGGTAATATAATTTGATTTCAAGAAAGCTCTCGATTCGGTCTCATAACATTATCTGTAAAAAACTGAAAACACTTAAAATTAACCCTTATGTTACAAACTGGATCATTAGTTTCTTGGCTAAAAGGAAACAAAAAGTTAATGATGGTAGTTGATGGCACAGAGACAATGTACGTTGATATTAACAAAGGTGTACCGCAGGGTACGCCGGTACGGTTTTTGGCCCGTTTCTATTTTCGCTGAAGGTAAATGACGTAAAACCCGTAGATGCGAAAAACAACCGTTTGGTCAAATTTGCTGATGATATAACGGCAAGTGCCCCAGTAAAATCAGGATTGGATTCTGCATCCGCTGAGGTTGAAGGAATTCAGAATTGGTCGGAAACAAATCAAATGACATTAAATATTTCTAAAACGTGGGAAATGGTTGTACAGAGTGGGTCAACGAAATCCTTACCAACACCGATTGTAGGCATTGAACAAAAGAGTTGGTTAAAATTATTGGGTACCACTTTTCAGGATAATCCATGCTCTTGGGATCTTCATGTTACAGTAACTATCTACTGTCCAAGGCGAGCGGGCGTATGTATATATTAAGGGTATGTAGGTGCTATGGATACTCCAGAGTTCACCTATGACATTTTACAATGCATTGTATTGAAGTATGGGGTTCAGCAATTCAAAAGAAATATCTAGATCGTATATAGACAAGTTCCTTCGCCGGGCTTATTGTTATGGATATACGACAAAATGTATTAAGGTATCTGAATTTATTGAAGAGAGAGATAGAACGTTATTCAGTAAAATTGTATCTAATCCAAGACATCCCCTGTATGAATTGCTTCCTGAGCGTAAACAAAGGACCACGAATTAGAACAGAAAGATTCAAACGAATATTGTATATGTATATATTTTTGTATATTTTTAACTAATGTAGATTTCTAGTTATAGATCGATGAGAATAGATAATGGACAAGTATAGCTACATTTTAACTGTAAATTACTGCAAATAATTTGGAATTTGTAAAGTTGCACGTCGGTTGTGACTTTTTGATAACAAAGAGTTTTACTTAAAAGCATCTCAAAAAGTATCTTAAGTAATCTTAAAATTGCTTAAAACAGTTAAGTAAAATTTAATAATAATTTAATTTAATACTATAATTTAATACTATAATTTAATTTTAAATTATAGTATTTTAAGTAAAATTTAAGATAAATAAAAGTACAATGGACAAGTAACCTCCGACGTTAAGACAAAAACCAAAGATCCAAAACGTGTAGAAGCTGGACCTTCACTCGTTAAAATTAGCCAGGCAGCAAAAGCTGTGAAGAAACAGCGTCATGCAGCGAGAACTTGAGGGATCAGCCGAGGAAGAGCCGCAGGGATCAGCACAGGCGTCAGCCGGAGCGGCAAGCGCTAGAGCGCAATGAACCAACCAGCCGATGAGGGTGACAACAGACAAAGACCGAGGCAAGCGCTGTACGCAGGCACACCAAACCGAATCCAAAGGAAAAACCTAAACCAACACCTGCATTCGAAATTGACTTATTTGACTAACAAGCCGGATCGCTTACGGCTGACGTCGGTTTAAAACAATGTAAGTTTAAATTAAAATAAAAAGATGCGTTGTCTGTACGAATGTGAGTTTGATATCATCCCAGAATAACCACAGGTCGACCATCCAAACGAATGGAGGGAAGACCAAGACGAACTACCAGTTCTTACAGAGAACTACATCGCCATTATTAACGGCTTGCTCCAACTTTTAGATCCAGAAGATGTTGATTTCCTTGGTGATATATTGCTCGAAGAAAATTACGAAGAAAATGAGGATTTTATTAGAATTGTTGATATATTATCTTACACATTTGGTTTCCAAGCAGGGCCGTAGCGAG